TTAAAAGTCACTTAAGTAAAAGTAAAAGGACTGGCTTAGACCTGGTTTTGCCCTGGTTTAGTCCTGGCTTAGTCTTGGTCCTGGGGTAAAAGAGTCACATGAAGTAAAAGGACACATACAAGGGTAAAAAGTTACTTAAGTAAAAGTAAAAGTAAAACCACATAAAAAAAGTTACTCAAGTAAAAGTACTACATTAAAAACTCTACTTAAGTAACTTTTTACCTTTGTATCTGTACATTTACTTAAGTGAAAGTAAAAGTAAAAGTACCACAATATAAAATCTGCTTAAGTAAAAGTTCAGATACAAAGATAAAAAGTTACTCAAAAGTACCACATGAAAAATTCTACTTAAGTAAAAGTATTAAAGTATCTGGTTTGTTCAAAAAACCCGAAGTAAGTACACATTTGAGGTATATGTACTTAACTTAAGTACATTTTACAAAGGATACATTTTACTTTTACTTTACTTCTTTTGAGAGCAGGTATCTGTACTTTAGATCTGGTCTTAAAAGTAAAAAAGTATTTTTCTTTATGGTTTGAGACCTGCTGAAAGGGGCTTTTTAAAATTTTTATAGCACATACTAATGTGCTAGCCTAATGCAAATACTAAATGTTTTATAGATTTAGTTGAATAAATTTGTCTGGCTCTGACTGAGTACCACCAAAGAAAAACCAGGTCTATAACAGGACTACTCCAGGTCGAATCTAGAACTAAACCAGGTCTATAACAGGACTACTCCAGGTCGAATCTAGAACTAAACCAGGTCTATAACAGGACTATTCCAGGTCGAATCTAGAACTAAACCAGGTCTATAACAGGACTATTCCAGGTCTAAACTAGAACTAAACCAGGTCTAAAAGTGGACTACATCATTTCCACTGTAGTTCAAAAAGGAAAAATGATCCAAAAGACGAGAGTCCAAGGTCCGCCTGAAGGAGCTCGTGTACATGAACCACAGTTATATATTTCAAACATAAAACAATAAAAGTGCAAAACAAAAAGCTGTTGGATTTTTATTGCTCCTTTAACACATCCAAAGTCCTGTGGGGGTAAACTGTTGTTGTAGTCACAGCTGCCCTGGGACAGACTGAAGCTGCCGGTCTGCACCATCGGCTCCTCTGAAAACCTCCAACACTCACATGTCACATTCATGCTGTCGACAGTGTGGCTCAAGTGTCTGGCCTAAGGACACAACAACAGTTTGTACTACAGAGTCACTGCTGCTCCTTCTCAGTCTCCCACACTGAGGTCTGAATTTAAAGCTGCACTATGGAACTTTTAACTGTTTAAACCTGGTTTAGACCTGGTTTAGACCTGGTTTAGTCCTGGTCTGGTCCTGGTTTAATTCAGGTTTAGTCCTGGTTTAGACCTGGTTAAGTCCTGGTTAAGTCCTGGTTTAATCTTGGTTCAGTCCTGGTTTAGTCCTGGTTTTGCCCTAGTTTAGTCCTGGTTTAGTCCTGGTTTAGTTCTGGGTTAGACCTGGTTTACTCCTGTTTAAGTCCTGGTTTAGTTCTGGTTTAGTCCTGGTTAAGTCCTAGTTTAGTCCTGGTTTAAACCTGGTTTAGTCCTAATTTAGTCCTGTTTTAAACCTAGTTTAGCCCTGGTTTAGTTCTGGTTTAGTCCTGGTTAAGTCCTAGTTTAGTCCTGGTGTAGTCCTGGTTTAGTCCTGGTTTAAACCTGGTTTAGTCCTGGTTTAAACCTGGTTAAGTCCTGGTTTAGTCCTAATTTAGTCCTGTTTTAAACCTAGTTTAGCCCTGGTTTAGTCCTGGTGTAGTCTTGGTTTAGTCCTGGTTTAGTCCTTGTGTAATCCTGGTTTATCCCCCAGGTACAGTCTCCCACTGAGATGATGATGTTATTGTTCCAGTGTGGCATTAAGCTGTCTCCGTGGCGACGGGCAGGAGACGCCGCAGGTCTGAGCAGAGACTCTAACCTCTGTTTAATGACTTTACACCTGTGTGTGGGCGAGTGACGACACGTGGGACACTCACACTCCTCCTCCTCCTCATCTCTCATCTCTCTCTTTGTCTTTCTCTGCTCTCTATCTCTCTCTGTATCTCTCTCTCCCCCCTTTGTCTCTCCCACACACTCTCCTCTCTCTCTTTTTCTCCCACACTCCTCTATCCCTCCCTCTCACTCTCTCTCCCTCTCCTTATCTCTGTCTCTCACCCTCCCTCTCTGTCTCTCTCTTCTCCCTCTTCCTACCCCTCTCTCTTTCTGTTTCTCTCTCCCTCTCTCTCTAGCTCTTTCCCTCTCTCTCTCTTCCCTCCCTCTCTCTGTCTCTCTCTCTTCTCTCTATCTCCCCCTCCCTCTCTCTGTTTTTCTCTCCCTCCCTCTCTCTCCCTTTCTCTGTCTCCCCTCCCTCTCTTTCTCCTTACCTCTCTCCCTCCCTCTGTTTCTCTCTCCCTCCCTCCCTCTCCCCCCTTCTCTCTCTCTCTCTTTCTCTTCTCACTGTCTCTCTGTTTCTCTCTCCCTCCCCCTCTCTCTTCTCTCTCTCCTCCTCTCTCCCTCTCCTCTCCCTGTCTGTCCCACACACACCTCTCCCTCTCTCTGTCTCTCTTCTCTCTCCATCTCTCTCTCTCTCTCTTCTCACACTCTCTCTCTCGCTGTCTCCTCTCCCTCTCTCACCCTTCCTCCTGCTGTCTCTCACTCTTCTCACTCTGTTTCTCTCCCTACCTTCCTCCCTCTCTTTCTCCCTACCTCTCTCCCTCTCTCTTCTCACTCTCTCCTTCTCTCTCCCTCCCTCTCTCTCTCTCTGTTTCTCTCTCCCTCTCCCCCCTTCTCTCTGTCTCTTTCTCTTCTCACTGTCTCTCTGTTTCTCTCTCCCTCCCTCTCTCTCCTCTCTCCCTCCCTCTCTCTCTCCATCTCTGTCTCTCTCACCTCTCTCTGTCTGTCTCTCCCACACACACCTCTCCCTCTCTCTGTCTCTCCTCTCTCTCTCCATCTCTGTCTCTCTCTCTTCTCACACTCTCTCTCTCTCTCTGTCTCCTCTCCCTCTCACAGCCTCCTTCTCTGTCTCTCTCTCTCTTTCTCTCCCTACCTCTCTCCCTCCCTCTTTCTTTCTCTTTCTGTCTCTCTCTCTCTTGCTGGTTTCACACATTCCTCTGAGCGTTGAGTAAACTGGACACACTCCCTTTGTCCTCCTCTGCAAAACTATTCACACTATTACACACTGTCTAGTAGTTGTAGTAGTAGTAACTGCAGCAGTAGTAGTAGTAGTAGTAGTAGTAGTAGAAGCAGTAGTAGTAGTAGTAGTAGTAGTAGAAGCAGTAGTAGTAGCAGTAGTAGAAGCATTAGTAGTAGTAGTAGTAGTAGTAGTAGAAGTAGTAGTAGTAGTAGTAGAAGCAGAGCAGTAGTAGTAGTAGTAGTAGTAGTAGTAGTAGTAGTAGTAGTAGTAGTAGTAGTAGTAGCAGTAGTAGTAGTAGTAGTAGTAGTAGTAGTAGTAGTAGTAGAGTAGCAGTAGTAGTAGTAGTAGTAGTAGTAGTAGTAGTAGTAGTAGCAGTAGTAGTAGTAGTAGTAGTAGAAGCAGCAGCAGTAGTAGTAGTAGTAGTAGTAGTAGTAGTAGTAGTAGTAGTAGTAGTAGTAGTAGTAGCAGTAGTAGTAGTAGCAGTAGTAATAGTAATAGTAGTGCAGTAGTAGTAGTAGTAGTAGTAGCAGTAGTAATAGTAATAGTAGTGGCAGTAGTAGTAGTAGTAGTAGTAGTAGTAGTAGTAGTAGTAGTAGTAGTAGTAGTAGTAGTAGTAGTAGTAGTAGTAGAAGCAGTAGTAGTAGAAGCAGTAGAAGTAGTAGTAGTAGAAGCAGTAGTAGAAGCAGTAGTAGAAGCAGTAGTAGTAGTAGTAGTAGTAGTAGTAGTAGTAGTAGTAGTAGTAGCAGTAGTAGTAGTAGTAGTAGTAGTAGCAGTAGTAATAGTAATAGTAGTAGCAGTAGTAGTAGTAGTAGTAGTAGTAGTAGTAGTAGTAGTAGTAGTAGTAGTAGTAGTAGTAGTAGTAGTAGTAGTAGTAGTAGTAGTAGTAGCAGTAGTAATAGTAATAGTAGTGGCAGTAGTAGTAGTAGTAGTAGCAGTAGTAATAGTAATAGTAGTGGCAGTAGTAGTAGTAGTAGTAGTAGCAGTAGTAATAGTAATAGTAGTGGCAGTAGTAATAGCAGTAGCAGCAGTGGAAGCTGCAGTAGTAAAACCAACCAACTATACAGCTGTTGGTCTATAATAGTAGTAGTAGTAGTAGTAGTAGTAGTAGTAGTAGTAGTAATAGTAGTAGTAGGGATTATAGAAGTAGTAGTTGCCATAGATGGGGCTACAGTAGCAGGATTAAAAACGTATATATAAAAGTATAAAAATATAAAAGAATATTAAAATATATAAAAGTACTAACAATAAATGTACATAGGCCTTATTGTAGTAGGCGTAGTATTTGCTTATTAGTAGTAGCAGTAGTATTAATTTATTATATATCATTATTGTAGTAGTAGTAATAAACGTAAGTAAGGCTAGTACAAACTGATATAAGATCCATTTAAAGGTACACTATATAACTTTTTGTTTAGGGGTCCTTCACTTCCTTGTTTCCATGGAGATATCATTACTCTGCCTGGAATGTTCCACAGTGTGACTTTAAACAGCTCTACTTTACGTTTATTCAATTACAGGTGGTTTTATGGCTCAAAAATACCAAGAAAAAACAAACATTCTGACTGTGAACGGGGTCGCCTCTCCACAGATCTGACCTCTAACTTGGTCTGGTTTGGTGATAGAATGAAGGTAGAATGGTTTAATGCCACACTGTGAAACATTCCGACAATAACAAACCATAGAGAAAAGCATTTGACAGACCGTCCATCAGAAAAGTTACACAATGCACCTTTAAGTCAGCTATCTTCTGTTTTATCCAAGCAATAGTAGTAACTTTAATGTTCGTGGTTCAATTCCTACTACCAACTTTGTGTCATTGGGCAAGACACTTCACCCAAGTTATAACATGCAAAAAATAAAACAAGTACGCAGAGGTTTTGAAAATATTGTGTAACTTTATTTATAACAGAATACAGTTCATTCAGACTGACAACCTCTCGATCCAGTTTCAGTGGGATGCTAACGTTATCTTAGCTTCTGTGGTGCTTCCAAAACACATTCTCCGAGCACCTTCCAGCTAAAGTCTGAACCTTTTGTGTTTTTATGGACTTTTGTTGGCACGTTTATTTTTTTTCTAACAGTACGTGAGAGATAAAGTTTGTATTTTGAGATTAGATTATAATCAGAGGTGGGTAGAAATCACTTATATTTACTTGAATTTAAATTGAAAATGGGAATGCTTTAAAATGTTCTGGTTAAAAATTAAATAAATTGCAAATCTAATTCAAATAATTGTCAAAAAATTTAATCAAATTTGATATTTCTTCCCAAATATTTCGTATTTTTCATATTTTTCGCCCCTACCTTTACTTGAACTTAAGTAATTTACTTTAGTTAATAATTTATGTTGAATTGAAGTTGAAAATGTGAATGCTTTAAAATGTTGTGATTAAAAAATGTATAAATTGCAAATCTAATTGAAATATTTGCCAACATTTTTTTAATCAAATTTAATATTTTTTTCAAATTTTTTTGTATTTTTTTCCTACCATTACTTAAACTCCAGTAATTTACTTTTGTTAATGATTTAAGTTGAATTTAAGTTGAACATTTGAATGCTTTAAAATGTCCTGATTCAAAATTAAATACATTACAAATCTAATTGAAATATTTGCGAAATTTTTTTAATCAAATTTGGTATTTTTTGCCAAATTTTTCATATTTTTCTATTTTTTTTTCTTCTTCTTCTTTACTTGAACTTCAGTAATTTACTTTTGGTAATTCTGTGTTCGATGAACTTAAACCAAAAGTGACAAAAACTTTAAATGACATTACAAAGATTTTAACATTTGTGAATATTATACTTTACCATAGCAACAGGGTATTTATTTATCAATTAGAATACATTTTGACATTATTGTATGTTTTTTGTCTTTCAGATTACATCACAACTAAAAAATAACTTTCAAATTGTTAATAATTTAAGTTGGTGACTCCAGACTGAATAACTACTTTTACACATTGTTACTCATAGTAGAATTTACTGTATTGCTTCACTCACCTGAAATGTCCCACAGTATAGCATTAAACCCATCTAAGTCTATGGAGACCAAAAGTGGGCTCTTCTAGGCCCAGTTACAGGTCAGATCTGTGGCGAGGCAAGCCGGCTCATAGTAGGAATGCATGTTTTAAGGTATATTTTTGCAATTAAAAAAAACACCTGTCATCGATTAAGTTTAATGCCATACTGTGGAACATTCCAGGCCAAAGCAACAGCACTTCCATGGAGACTAGCAGGTGGCATAAATTCCACTAGAAAAGTTACGCAGTGCTTCTTTAACTTCTTCAGATTATGGAAAATGAAGAAAAATTAACCCAGTAATTTCATTTATTTGTGTATTTTTATTTGTTTATCTGTCCGTATATAAAGAAATACCTGTGTAATTTAATTTGAGTAATGTTTGGACTACTTGAGCACACTTAAATGTTAAATTAATGGTGTTTCGGTAAATATACGTCCACTCTACCCACCTGTGATCATGGTATTGTTTTGTATTTTGTATTTGAATGACAGTACCTGCGTGTTTGTGGTGCTACGGTTGCCTTTAAACAGAGAGGAGATCAGAAATGTGGTCATATATAAGGCATTAGGTATATGTCCTGACAACGGGAGAAAGTACAGGAGAAGACACGCCCACTTTCAATGTCAAACAATGGGATCTTACAATATTTATAAAGAAAATAGGCAGTGATCAGAGAATATAGTGTTTTTTAGGTACAAATACGTTCAGAAATGTGACTCTTGTGTTGTTTGTCAGCTCATATTTCCATATTTTTGCTACTTCTGGACGTGTTTAAAATGTGAACTTTGAAAAGAATCCTATAATTAAAACAAAAATTGCAATTAGATATTTAGACGTTGTTAAATGTGCTCTGAAATACATGGGTTTCTTGTATTAGTTTCGGTTTTATCTGAAATGTGAATGCTGTAAAATGTCCAGATTATAAATTTTATAAACTGCAAATGTATCTGAAATATCTGGCAAAAAATTGAATCAAATTTTATTTTTTTTTTTCAAAATTTTTCAGCCAACTTTTAAATTTTAACTAATATTTTTTCCCTCTTCTATGGTTGATAAAGTTCAAACATGGGATTCTTATATTAGTTTCAGTTTGATCTCAAATGTGAATGCCGTAAAATGTCCAGATTATTATTTTTTTTAAATTGCAAATCTATCTGAAATATTTGTCAAAAAATAGGCTAAGATTTTATACTTTTTGCCAAATTTTTCAGCCAACTTTTACATTTCAACTAATTTTCTTTCTCTCTTTTATGGTTGATAAAGTTAATCATATATTGAAAAACAATGGGGTTTTGATAGTGGCCTTAATACAAAGCCACTGGAGTATCTGAAAAATTATAAAATAAAAATAATAGTTTAAAAGTTTCCACAAAATAAGGGTTTCTAAATGGATGATCGAAATGAATTGAACTGGTTTTGATTTCTGCCTAGCAACAAGTATAATTTTTCTCCTAATGAAGCTCCCATTGGTCGACATTGAGGGACACGCCTTCTCTTCTTACTTGAATTTCAGCTTGTTCAAATTACTCAATCTTGAATGCAGCAATCAGAGGCCATTTGAATAAACAATAAATAACAAAACAACATAAATAATTCTTACATTAAAACACATTTCCAAACACTCAAACTATGTCGTATTGGCAGAACGTCAAAGGGACCCCAGACCATCACCAAAACTCTTTGACTGTTTTGAACTAATATTTTGAAATTATGATACGTACAAAATTGTCATGCACAGATGGTTGTATTTCTAATAACTTTTTAACCAAATTTTGTGACTAGAAAGTAGAAAAAAAAAAAAAAAAAAACTTTCCTTTTACCAATCCTTTTTATAATATGGCAGTATTCGTTTTTGACAGTTTCCAACATCTCACGAAAACGTAAAATGTAAACGCAAATGGTAAAATTGAAATATGGATTGACAAAAAAGTAGAATTACAAAAATAATTACACTAAAATAAGTTAATTTTATATATAATAGCAGTTCTTCTGGTGGTAACTTTGATAATTAGTAAAGATGGGATGAGATACAATTCTTTATCCCAAGTGTGAATGCTGTAAAATGTTCAAATTATACATTTTATAAACTGCAAATCTATCTGAAATATTTGACAAAAAACTGAATCAAAATTGATATTTTTTCCAAAATTTTCAGCTAACTTTAAATTTTTTTAAACTAATATTTTTACCCTCTATTATGGTTGATAAAGCTCAAATGTGGGATTCTTGAATTTGTTTCAGTTTTATCTCAAATTTGAATGCTTAAAAATGTCCGGATTAAACGAGACAAGACGAGATTTTGAAATTTTTTAGGTTATATTAAAAACTTTGTGCATTTCACTTCCCAATTTTAGTCTCAACATTTTCTGCTGTCATTGTAGATCTGCTTTTTCTCAAATACGTAACTCGTCAGTACTTTAGTTTTTCAATCCAAACGTAAAACGTGAGGAAAAAATCTCACAGGATCGTTTTCACTATGTGTGTACGAAATCTTGTTCCATCCCTTCGAATTAGTCCAAATTTCATAAACACTGAATTTGATTTTCCAGAGTTTTTAACGTGGCTTATCGATAAAATTCAAAAAATTCCAAATTGTAGAATAGATGCTGATCCCTGTTTCCACGGAGATGCTATTGTTTTGCCTGGAATGTTCCAACGTACAGCATTAAAAACCATGGAGACAGGCTATAGGTCACACCTCTAGACCAAGTCACAGCTCGGATCTGTGGAGAGGCGAGCCTGCTCCTGGTGAGAATGCACGGTTTTCAAGATAAACAATAAAACATCTGCGATAAATGTAAGACGTTTAATGCCATACGGTGGAATATTCAAGCCAAAGCAATAACATCTCCAAGGAAACAAGAAGATGGAAGACTGAAAAGACCAGAAAAGTTTTTAAAAATGTACTTTGTAATCTTAAAATTAATATATCTTTATTTCAAAACTTAATAACGGAACAATTGCACTTTAACAATACGGTAACATTGTGCATTTCTGATAACATCTTGTTTATTTATGCAGGTTGTTTTGGGTTGGGTCTGGATTCCCTTTTTCTGATAAATTATGTGCCGTCATCTTTATTTATTTATGTATTTATTTATTTTAAAGCCAGCGATTTGAACATGTCTCGAACTTCTTTGTAAAAACTCTCTGTAAACTGTGACAGTGTCAAATGCCCCCTTCAAACCGGGCATTTAAATCCAGCTCCCATTAAAATACATGTGGCCAGATTCAAACGCCTGGATTCTTAGCGTTTTTTAACGTCCACGTCCGTTCTAATTGCTTCAAAACTTGGTTATATTTTATTTTTTTTATAACTACAGTTTGTTTAATTATGAAATTGATTATCAACATTACTTTTTATATATTAATATCTGCTTACTTAAAGAAAAATAGTATCTGTGACTGTCAAATATATTAAAATGTATTTGTTTACAGGTTTTAATTAAATACATAAGGCTTTTTAAATATATTTGGTCCATATTGGCTCTATATAAAAACTACTACAAGTACTACTACTACTATTTATACTACTACTTCAACTACTACACTAAAGTCTTGAATTGATGTAATGTTATGTAAAAGCATCAGAATTATTCTCTGTTTATAGGCATATTTCACAAATTTCAGAGGCAAAAGCGAAGTTTTGCCGGTAGTGCTAACAACAACTAGCATTCTAACAGAGCACCAGCCTTACTTCCCGGTTCGCGGACGATAAAACTTTGTTATAACTCGATAATTTGATATTGTGTTTATGTATGGACAAAAATATCCATGTCCTTTTGAATGAGTAGGACAAAAAACTTAACTAAAAATCGTAAACATAAAAACTGGCCACTGTAAAAATGTCTCGCGGATTGTGTGATTTCCCAGGTTTGAAGGGGGCCCTGAAGGCAACAGTCTCTGATCATTTCCCAAAATCCTTCTTAAGTAGCCTAGCTCCACATTTACTCCACGACGTCTTAAATCTGAATATTAGTTGCGTATAATACTTACAGAAAATGGTTGGCTACATGACTGATTTTGCATGAAAAAATGCACACCAAAAATAGCGAAACTGCAGAGGATGAAAAGTTAAAATTACTTCAAAAATCTAAAACGTCTTTGTATCATATCGTACAGTTAACGCAATCGGGTCTTGGATCCTAATTTTGCGATTTTACAATTAAACAAAAAAGGCCAAGAACTTTTTGCGAATTATATGTCTCTCTCACGTTGAACAATTTCTTGAGTTACGGCTACGGAAAACCACAAAAAACAAGCAAAATGTGGTAAAAATTAAAAAGAAAAAAAACCCTGGCGGAGTTGGCGATTTATTCCTCTCTCCGCGGGATTATGGAAAATGCTTTTAGCTGTTAAAACTATTGATAGTTTTCAGTGATCACATGAGGAGGTCAGTTACCATGGCATTATTATCAAAAAATAAAATTAAAAAAACAAAAAAATTAACCTTACTTGTGATCTATATGCGTTTTTTGTCCTGTTTTACGCATTTGTTTTTCAAAATAAAGGCTAAACCTAAAGCTAACTGAAAAAAACGTCAGTTGGCTACTGCTAATAACGCTAATATAACAGTTATCTATATACAGGCTAACGCTAGCTTGTGATTTGAATGTTTTTTGAGAAGAACTTGTTTATAAAAGCAGAAATTAGCTCACTTGGTTCAACTAAATATGTTCTTAAAGCTCAATTATGTTAAAAAAATACGCAAAGTTGTCAAATATTCAATGCTAAAACTAGCATCGCCACTGGACACTATTTTAAGAACTGAAAAATTGCGTAAAATTAAGACAAAATTGGACTTTTCCTGAATAGTTTTAGAACTAGTATAAGACCACATGGTAATATTAAAGAAACTATTTATTTTGTGTTGAAAATTACCTTTTAAAAAAATTCTAAAAACATATTTGCGATTAATTACAGTTGTAAAATCAGTATCGAGCACGAAGCCTTTTCCTTAGTATCGAAATAAAGTTTGAAATTTCAGTTTTGTGACACTAAAATAAGCCTAATGTAAGTAGCTTCAGATCAGATATCGCTAACGCTAGCAGTTAGCATTGCCCGCTAAGTGTCGCCATGGAAATTTGACCTCCGCTGAATGTCGCATGATGCCCTATGAAAACTATCAACATGACGCTTATTTTGTGTTTCTGTAATTAACGCCCTCTCCGAAATGGCCGCCGCGTGGGCAGTCTCTCAGCCACGGTGCGACCCGTCTCCAGTGCGCTGTATTCTGGAGTTGATGAGTTCCCGGGACACGCGCTTGGGGTCCGACGCCAGGCCTAACCAGCACATCAGGTCTATGAAGGCGGTGGTCAGGTTCACTCTGCAGCCGAACTCGCTGGTGGCGTAGTCGTACGGGAACGTGTGGTGGTAGTTGTGGAAACCCTCACCTGGAAAAGACAAACAACACGAGTTAGACATGTAAAAAATAAACTGAAGACTTCTATGCAATTCAGATGGGAGTAAATTTAAAGGTGCAGTGTGTAAATTTTCCAGTGAAGCGTCTGATCTCATAGCGTCTCAAAACTACACTTATGTATGTAACTATGGTTCTATGAATTCCAACGACCACTAGAGGGCAGTGCTGAATGTTCCCCTCGTGATTGCGCCCTCTGGAGGTCAGGAGGAATAAAATATAACTGTTGTCATTATTCAGTGATTCCTAACACTTGAATTTAGGTCTGCAAAATTATATTATTAAGGTTTTAGTGGGGCTGTCACGGTAAAAGCAATATTGAAATACCAAGGGCTCAGGTGACTGCAGTAGCTACATTTGCATTTTAATGAGGCTCACCGCAGGTTAAACGTTAACCATTACAGGTCGACTCGCGTGTCACTTCTGCCCAGTGTCAGAAGGAACAGGTTTGGTGAACAGTTTGGTAAATAATCACTGTGGCACCAAACCAAACCTGGGACATCCAGTTAGATTCACTCGGAACATTCAAGGTACGCACAGTGTGTACAGGCGCCCCCTGCAGGCGCCTCTGTGTGGGTTTACCGTGAGTGTACGGGCTTTATGTGTTACTCACTCGAGGATCCTAATAATATATTCTTGTAAATCGTCTGTAAAACTACATGATACTACAGGTGCACGTGTCTGTCATTTAGGCCTGGCTGTGGTTTGATAAAGATATTTTTCAAATACATCCCCAGTGTACATGTATTATTATGGGCCTCTGTGCAGAGTAAGGGTGTACAAAAATACTTAAATATCTATATATATAACATATCATTTAATGTGATGATACAGTTTCAATATCGTGGGCTATGGAGTATTTTTTTGGTATATTTTAGTCAATTATTTTGTTACAGTGCTACAGTTTTGTTGCTTGTTTGGAGGAAGAAAACTCATTTAGGTGACACATTTGACATTTCCAATTTGTTACTTTCACTGTTGTCTAGTGCAAAGACAGGTAAAGTTACCGCAAGGGAAATTCTTGAACCGCGACAGCCCTAAGTTTTAGTGATAGAAATATTTAAATTTGCAGTTAAAACTACGGCCTATGATAATTTGGACCAATTCTGCAGGAAGCCTGAGGTCCAACAAACACTGAGGGACACACTTGACCCTGGATCGTAGTTTGAACTCTCCTGATCTAAAATACACCAGATAACAAGAAATTATCAGTTCTGAGCAAACTTTCCAGGGGGAGAACTGCAGGATAAGGGGTGTGCAAAAATATCCAAATATCAATATATCGTATCATTTAATGTGATGATACAGTATCGATATTGTGGGCTGCTGTATCGATATATCACCAAGTTTATTTTTTGGTATATTTTACCAAATTATTTTGTTACAGCTACAGTTTTGTTTCTTGATCAGAGGAGAGAAACTCGTTTATGCAACACATTTAATATTTTGACTGTTTTGATTATTTAAAATGTTTGTGTTTTATATAAACTTTGCACAGGAAGTGTTTTAACAAAGTCTTTTAGTGTCACAAACATGATTTAGCTTTTATTTTTTATTGAACTGTATCGAATTGATGTGAAATATATCATATCGAATCGAAAGCTCACTGTATCGAGATATGTATCGTATCGTGGCCTGTGTATTGAGGTATGTATCGTATCGGCAACTTCTTAATGATACCCAGCTCTACCCAGAATCCTCCTGCCTTAAAGTTGTGTATTACATCAGACTTTTGTGAAAGTGTGGGACTAAATCAAAGGCCCTGTGCCCTAGTGTCGCTCCTGATAATCACACTGTGGTGATTTGTCCACAGATTTATGATTTTCAACCCGAGTCTCACAGGATTGTCAGGTGAGCCAATTTACATTTCCAATCTCACTTAAATGACTTTGGACCCATTGAGGAGAAGATTTAGTAAGGAGATATAACACTGAAAACTGAAAAATGCTGCCACAGCTCAATCAAAACGAAACACCATCATAAACAATCTGCGTGTCGTACGTTCATTAGTTTTTCAATATAAAATCAAAAATAAGAAAATGAAAAAACAACTGTTTTCTTCATTATTTGTCTCCAAAACCAAAATGAAAAAAAAAGAATAACGATTAGTTTTTTCAGTTTTCAATTTTGCGTTTAAATGAAAAATGGAAAAAACGGATAACAGCCGTTTCCCGTTTACGTGACTTCAGTGACTGCGATGTCGGACTGAACCAGGACTTACCCAGGACTGGACCAGGTCCGGGACCAGACCGGGACCAGAGCAGGACTGAGACCGAGACCAGAACGGGACCAGACTGGGACTAGAGCGGGACTGAGACCGAGACCAGAACGGGACCAGACCGGGACCAGACCGAGAGTGAGACCCCGTGGAGGCTCGGAGTCAAAGCTTGGAGTCCGCTCTGGTCCCACTTTGGTCTCGCTCTGGTCCCACTTTGGTCTCGCTCTGGTCCCGCTCTGGTCCCGGTCTGTTCCCGATCTGTTCCCGGTCTCAGTCCCGGTCTGGTCCCGGTCTGGTCCCGGTCTGGTCCCGGTCTGATCCTGGTCTCAGTCCCGCTCTGGTCCCGGTCTGGTCTCGGACCTGGATCAGTCCTGGTTCAGTTCATATGCGGTGCAAAAGTCCAGCATCACAGTCACTGAAGTCACGTAAACGGGAAACGGCCGTTATCCGTTTTTTCCATTTTTAATTTAAACACAAAATCGAAAACTGAAAAACTAATCGTTATCTGTTTTTTCACTTTGGTTTTGGAGACAAATAATGAAGAAAACTGTTGGTTTTTTCGTTTTCTTATTTTTTATGTTATATTGAAAAACGAATGAACGAATGACACACGGATCACAAACCCTCGTGTCTCACCGATGGCGCTGAAAGCCACAAACTTGTTCTCGCGGGGGTTGATGTGTTTGTCGTAGGGTCTGTTCCCCCACATGTGAGCGGCGCTGTTCACCAGCCACGTGGCGTTCAGGACCACCGTGTAACGCAGGAGAGACGGCACGAAGTACGACACCCACAGAGACTCGCCCCAGAAATACCAGGGCACCAGAGTGGGCACCAGGAAGCACATGATCACCACCGACGGCTTGTAGTACCTGAGGACGAAGACAGAGGGCATAAGTGAGCGAGCTGCTTCATTCACACATGCTTTACACGCAAATCCTTCTTCTCTTTAACTGAAGAAACATAATGCAGGAAGTGCTCCACTGTGTTTTTATACTCCACACACCTTCCATGATTTCAGCCCTGGTGTTTCCATGAAGCTGAGCTCAGTGTTTTAGTGTTTTTAGTTTTTAATGACGATGACACAGATTTGGAGCCAAACATGAGTCAGACTTCACCACACGGAGAAGTGACGAGGCTAATGATCACCTGTTCAACCAGAACGGATGAAAGAGAGAGGGAGGAGGGAGGGAGGGAGGAGAGATGAAAGACAGAGGGAGGAGGGAAGGAGGGAGGGAGAGAGAGAGGCGAGATGAAAGACAGAGGGAGGGGAGAGAGAGAGAGAGAGAGAGAGAGAGACAGAGATAGGAGAGAGAAATGGAAAGGTGAGAGGGATGGAGGAGGAGAGGGAGAGACACAAGAGAGAAAGGGAGAGAGGGAGGGAGAGAGACAGAGACAGGAGAGAGAGAGGGAGGGAGAGGGAAAGAAGAGAGGGAGGGAGGGAGAGAGAGGGGGAAGAAGGAAGGGAGGGAGAGAGGGACAGAGACAGGAGAGAGAGAGACAGAGAGAGGAAGAGAGAGAGAGGGAGGAAGAGAGAGGGTAGGAGGGAGGGAGGGGGAGAGAGAAAGGGAGGAAGAGAGCGAGGGAAAGAAGAGAGGGAAGAAGGAAAGGAGGGAGGTGAAGGGAGAGAGAAAGAGACAGATAAGAGAGAGAGGGAGAGAGAGAAAGGGAGAAAGAGAGCGAGGGAGGAAGAGAGAGGGAGAGACAAGAGAAAGAGAAGAGAACGAGGAGAGAGGGAGGCAAAGACGAGAGAGACGGAAGGATGGAGAGGGAGAGACAAGAGAAAGAGAGGGAAAGAGAGAGAGGGAGGGAGGGATGGAAAGAAAGAGGGAGAGAGGGAGGGAGCAACAGAGACAGGCGAGAGAGAGAAAGAGAGGACACAAACAGTGATGAGAAAGAGAAAGAAGGCAGAGAAAAGCGAGAGAGAGAGAGAGAGAGTGGGAAGAGAGTGGGAAGAGAGGGAGAGAGAGATAATGAAAGAGAGAGAAAAAGACATGCTGTGTCTTCAAATGTATTTAAAAGCTTTAGTTGAGTCAGCTTTGTTGAGTCCTTGGTTTGGTCCTAGTCTACATCTGGAGTAGCCCTGATATTGTTGTATTTTAGTCCTAATTTAGTCCTGGTTTAGTCCTGATTTAGACTTTTTTTTTTTTACATAAATTCTGCTCTGATTTAATCCTTGAAAATAATAAAAAATAAAATAAAATTTAATAAATAAAAAAAATTTATTCACTTTTTGTATGATATTTAAATGTGCATTGTGTAAATTTTCAAACGCTTTTCCACATGCAGATGTTATTGCTTTGTCTAGAATGTTCCACAGTATGGCATTAAACCTTTCTATCTTCATAGAGACCAAACTAAACCAAGATACAGATCAGATCTGTGGAGAGGCGACCCCGCTCACAGTCAGAATGCCTGTTTTTCTAGGCATTTTTGAGCTATAAAACCACTTTTAATTGAATAAATGTACAAGTAAAAGTAGAGCTGTTTAATGTCACACTGTGGAACATTCCAGACAGAACAATGACCATCCATATATCTACAGAAACAAGCAGGTTACACACTCTCCACCAGAAAAGTTACATAATGCATCTTTAAACTTTTACCAATACAATTACAGGCAGGTTTTAGCTCATTTTGCTTTTTTTTTAATTTGCAATTTATTCAGTGCTTTTTTTTTTTTTTTCACATAAGTCACAGTATAAATGCCTTTTTTTTTTTTTTTTTTTTTTGTTTTGTTTTTTCCCCCACACATAAAATTAATATAAATGTAAAAGGTAAAGGGTCAAGTAAAAGCTCATTGCACTGAAAAATACTATATCACAATAAACTTCCTCTCAACTTCCGCAACAGCGAGTTAAATATAAAACAACTCACTTCCTCTGAAACCTGACGACGGGGTCTGAGGTCAGGTCCTTCAGCTCCAGCTTGCTCCCCTTCTCGATGACGTCGGGGTGTTTTCGGACCAGGAGCCAGCCGATGTGCGCGAAGAAGAATCCACGTTTGGCGTTGTGGGGGTCCGCGTCTGACTCCGAGTATTTGTGGTGGACTCTGTGATCTCGTGCCCACTCGAAAATGTCGTTCTGAAAAATGTAAACAAATAAATAAGTAAGTTTAAAGGTCTTACATTACGCAAAACTGACTCTCGTGAGGTCAAAGCCGTGTTCTGATGTTGTTACCGCAAACAAAACACGACTCCAGGTGTGTTTGTGATGAGGAAATGACATTATAACATAGATCAGAAAACATAATATGGGCCCTTTAAGAGATATTTTTATAGATTAAAAACAAGCTGGACCAAAACTTACTAAACCTTGAATGACCCAGATCTTAACCAGAACATAAAGGCACAATATCTGATTTTTACTGCCTTAAACATTTGAAAAACAGAACTAGTTCATTTAAATATTAGCTGTAAAAACTTGCTTTAGATCTAAACAAGGACGTAAAGGTGCATGATGTAACTTTTTTGGTTGGTGCCTCGTCACAGAGATGTCGTTGCTCTGCCTGGAATGTTCCACAGTATGACATTAAACAGCTCTACCTTACATTTATTCAGTTATTAGAGATGCAACAATAACCGAAATATCGTGATATCGTATCGTCAAAGTTCTCGCAATAATATCGTGGACCATCACAATATATCGAATTACAAATCTCTTTCTTAAATTAAGTGTTACGGTGCAGCAACAGCTAAAAAAAGACAGAGGGAACTACTAGGGGTGTAAAGATATCCAAGTCTCATAATACGATATCGTCACGGTATGAACCTCACGGTACGATATTTATTACGATATCGTGGGAAAACTCACAATATGTTGGGGAGGCTCACTTTTAAGAGATGTAACAATATCAAAATCTCTCTGTACGATATTTTCACGATGTACATCTCACGGTACGATATTTATTGCGATATTTTGTGGAGGCTAAACAGCTAAAACTGTTTATGTGCTACTTTTTCCTCTTAAAATGCCTTGACAAGACTTAATCCAAAGAACTAAGACTTAAAAGTGTTAGAACTGTTATTTCTTCTTGTCGTCTGCACTGAAATGGAGCAAAGGATCATGGTCTATGTAGTTCTCTCTGTTTTTTTGTTTTTTTTAGCTGCACCATAACTCTTCATTTAAGCAAAGAGATGTGTAATTTGATATATTGTGATGGTCCACGATATTATTGTGAGAACTTTGACGATACGATATCACGATATTTCGGTTATTGTTACATCCCTAGGAACTACATAGACCATGATCCTTTGCTCCATTTCAGTGCCGACGACAAGAAGAAATAACAGTTCTAACACTTTTAAGTCTTAGTTCTTTGGATTAAATCTTGTCAAGGCATTTTAAGAGGAAAAAGTCACATATTAACAGTTTTGTTAGCCTCCCCAAAATATCGCAATAAATATTGTACTGTGAGATGTATATCGTGAAAATATCATACCGAGAGATTTGGATATTGTTACATCTCTAATTGTGAAACTCACCGCCGTATCATGAGCTTTCCCACGATATCGCAATAAATATCATACCGTGAGTTTCATGCTGTGACGACATGGTATCGTGAGACTTGGATATCAGTTACAGGTGGTTTTATACTGTTGGTGGTTTGGTTTCAATGAAGATAGAAATGTTAAATACCATCTGGGCTGTCGCGGTTTAACAATTTCCCTTGCGGTAACTTTACATGCCTCTGCTCCCTGGTCTGTGTGTGGCGTGTGTGTAGTGTGTGCGGTACAGTACATGTATTATTAAGAGGCTCTTTAATAATACATGTACACTGGGGTTGTACTTGAAAAAAAATCTATATAAAACCACAGCCAGGCCTAAGTTCAGCCTGCAGCCTGAAGTGACCCAAATCTAATTTTTTCGCCCCTATGCTCCTGTATCTGATCTTTTAATGACATTCTGAACGACACAGATCCAATTTTTTTTCAAATGCGACCCAGGACACTTGGATATGTGCTCCTGAAACCGATACATATCCGATCTTTTGACATGTGACGTCAGTCTGAACGGCCAGGTCACATTCATCCCACCTACATGTCATCAACAAGCTACAAACATCACTATTCTCCTTCTCGATCTCCTCCTTAAACAAATAATCTGTACATGTTCTGGCTCCGGTACGAGAGCAGCTTTAAAATCTCCAGATGCTCAATGCTGCGTCCAAGTATAGGCGACTTCTGTAAAGACAAATCTCCTCACCTGGACAGAGACACCCAGAGCATGAGGACAATGGTGCGGTCCAGAAAACAGGTAACTGAGATATTTCCCACCTCCGACTTGTAAAGAAAACCTTCAGACACCACTTAAACTGATAATTAGCACTTGTGTAAGACGGTACTAATTGAGGACTAAAACAGGTTTAAACCAGGTTCAAACCAAGCCCAAACCCACATAAACCCAGACTGTTTTACCTGAAATGCCATGGAGTTGAAGCAGAATTTAAACCAGGACAAACCAGGACTAAACCAGGACTAGACCAGGTCTAAACCAGATCTAAACCCATTTTAAACCCAGAATGTTGTCCCTGAAATGCCATGGAGTTGGAGCAGGATACTAAACCAAGTCTAAACCAGGACTAAACCAGATCTAAACCAGGTCCAAACCAGTACAAAACCATGTCCAAACCCAACCTAAACCTAAACCCAGACTGTTGTACCTGAAAGCCATGGAGTTGGAGTTGCATACTAAACCAGATCTAAACCAGGATTAAACCAGGACTAAACCAGGTCTAAACCAGGACTAAACCAGGTCTAAACCAGGTCTAAACCAAATCTAAACCAGGTCTAAACCCATTTTAAACCCAGACTGTTGTACCTGAAAAGCCATGGTGCTGGAATTGGATACTAAACCAGGTCTAAACCAGGTCTAAAAAGATCTAAACCCATTCTAACCCCAGACTGTTGTATCTGAAATGCCATGGAGTTGAAGCAGGTTACTAAAACAGGTCTAAACCAAGACTAAACCAGGACTAAACCAGGTCTAAACCAGGTCTAAATCAAGTCTAAACCCATTTTAAACCAAGACTGTTGTACCTGAAAAGCCATGGAGTTGGAGTTGGATACTAAACCAGGTCTAAACCAGGACTTAACCGGGTCTAAATCAGGTCTAAACCAGGTCTAAACCAGGTCTAAACCAGGACTAAACCAAATCTAAACCAGGTCTAAACCCATTCTAAGCCCGGATTGTTGTACCTGAAAAGCCATGGAGTTGGCGACTCCCAGGAAGATCCTCAGGGGGAGGGAGGCCTTGTACGACCTGTGACTCCAGAGACGGTGAGCTCCAGCAGTGATCCCCAAAGCACTGATTACGTAGCACACCACGGCTGAAGAAGAAAAGAAGGGGAGATACAGAGAGAGATAAAGGTTAGACACAAGACTTTAACTGTCTATATCACAGAAAACGGATAATGTAGCAAAACAGAGCTGAAGAAAAGAGACAGAGAGAGAAACGAAGAGAAAGATCAGACTTAAGACTTTAACTTTAACTGTCTATATCACAAAGCATTGATTATGTAGCACATCACAGATGAATAAGAAGAAAGACAGAGAGGCAGAGAAAGCGAGAGAGCCAGAGAGTGAGAGAGAAACAGATACAGAGACAGAGAGGTTAGAAACAAGACTTTAACTGTCTATATCACATATCCAAAGCACTGATCATGCAGCACAACAGAGCTGAAGAAAGACCGAGAGAGACAGATACAGAGAGGTTAGACATAAGACTCTGACTGTCTGTTTATCTGTTTATATCACATATTCTAAAGCATTGTTTCCCAAAGACTGTGTCCAAAAGACTGAATTTTTTTTTGGGTTGCCATGTCATGATCTGCATGATATGTGTGTTTCTCCTCCTGCACCCGGACTGGAACACGCTACAAAAACACAGACAGGCCCATCTATCTCATTAGAAATGTTCAAATGTTAAGACATGTTTTGTATAATTTCTAATTGTTTTGTAATTATTTCATTGACTATTTTGTTCCAGTATTGCTGGTTCAATTGAGTGTTGAAAAGAAAAAGAAATGGGCTACATTTAAGGTCCAAACAGGCGACTTATGGATCCTTTTATTGCTGCTTCAGTTACTGTTTTTCATTGTTTACAACTTGAGTAATACTAATTGTTCAGAGAGACATGATCACTCAGTCAACAATAAAACATCCTCATTAATGTTCAACAATGTTCGAATTAGGGATAGGCATGATTAGTCGAGTAATCAATAATTGATCATTAAGAATTTCGTTGATCACGTTCATTTTTAATCGACAAACTGAATGTAGGTTGCTGTGCATAGTGTAGCGTAAGGAGACGAGGCTACGTCTGACACACAGTCCCACATTTGGGCTCTGGCTCCTTGGAGACACTGTTCCACTCAGTGAGTGTGTTTCCAGCACATCAGTGTCCCGGTTTCGTCATGGTGCATGTAAACGTAGTATTCCGGTTACCGAAACATAAAGAGCTGTGCTAAACCTGCACACTTCTGTTCTCTGAAAACATGAACCATCTCCAACGTGACACTAGGCCTGTAACGATAATCAATAAATCAATTAATCATACGATAACATTTAACAAGCTCGATAACTTTTCTGGCCGCGATAAATTCTATTTGCATACTTGTTTGACTGAATGTTAGAAGGCTTCAATTGCTCTCTGTTTCCTCTTGTTTAATAAGCATAATGACGCTTGAACCAATGTGCGCTGTGTTTATCAGCACAGCAGATGCGCGCGTAGCCTGAGTGCAGAAAGCGCCGCTGTCTGTGCGGCTAAACATGAAGCCGCAACACAAGCGCCGCTGTCAGAACCAAAACAGTTCATCATCGAGTGCCAAAAGAAGTCACGATGCCAAATCAACACTGGTGAGCAGGACACGTCTCAACAGCCATGTGCGTCAAATGCAGCGAGCGCGCAAACAACGAGAAAAAATTCATAATAAAATCTTGGTCCATTAATCGTCCAGCAAAATCGGTTATCGTTACAGGCCTACACCACACACACACAGAACAGACTCACCATCATCACCAACATCCCTCATAGAAAAAACACTCATATTCCACTGAGACATGTCCTTTAGTCCGACAGAAACTGAACCGCATCAGCGCACAAGGAAAGAGCAGGGTTTTTTTTTGCTTTTAGTTTATGCAAATGAGCCATGCCATTAAGTTTTGTTTCTGTAAAAAGTAAACAAATGTGTCAAAGCTGCATGTTGTAAAGTTGAGTTTATTTATGCAGATTAGTAATAATATAAAAACGTTCATGATTAATTAAAAATCGATCCAATTAAGAAAATTTAATCAAATACCCATCCCTTGTAGGCACCACTTTGTCTGAACCTACGCTTTTATTTGATCTTTAATCTGACGCAATCTGACCAGAAAGAACTGACTTAGCTGGAATTACAAGGTGATCTGATCTGTGCTGTTAAACGAGTCTCTGTCACAAAACATTACAGTCAACGCTGTAATGAACCCTGATCAAACGGCTTTTTTTGTTTGTTTGTTTGTTTGTTTGTTTTTGTTTTCCGGCAGCTTTTTTGGCTTTATTTACTCATGTGCACGTTGCCTCACCACGGTAACTTCTACAATATATAAACCACATACAATATATATTTGGGTTTCTCTGTCCAGAACATGATGTGTGGTGAACAGGAGTTATTTCAGACAGTGGGCTGGTATGTGGCCCACTCTCTCACAATCACACTTTTGTTCAGCACATCTGCACAAACAAAGAGGGTTTGACTGTCACCAGATCGTAATGTTACCTAATGCTGCAGACTGACTCTGACTATACAGAATAATGTGAAAGGGAGCGATTGACAAATAAACATCACACAAAAACACAAGTATATTTAACGACGGGCCAATATATACTTGCATTTTTGTGTCATTGCTATTTTATGGTCTGTGTTATAATGTAGTTTCCTCATCACAAACAGAGCTGGAGTTGCATTTTACTTCATTCAAACATGTTTAACAAGAAAAATTCTGCATATTTAGGCTTAGTTCTTCTCTCAAACTGCTTTTAAACTCCACACACTTTCACTAGAATCATCTGGATCATTTCAACCCTTTAATTGCCGATCTCTACTGAACTAAAGGTAAAAGGAGCTGTTAACTTGAAAATTAAGCTTTTTAGATTTGGACATGTAGACAGACTAATAATAAAGGTGTTGTGGAAAAATAAATATATCTCTTGATGATAAATAATTAATCCGTTTGTGAAGCCTGGTGAGTTTCTGGAATACAGACAAAGGTTTATTCTTGTTACAGCAGATGTGGACCGAGACTAGGCCTCCCCTCAACAGCCTCTCCTCTCTCCAGTCACCCCTTCTCTCCTGAGCATCTCCCTCCAGAACATCTGAGCTTAGAGCATTTACACGGAAATACAAGTTATGAGAGAGATGGGAAGATGGGAAGCGGAGATGACAATAGATATACCGGTAGATACCTGGGAACAGATATGTACAGAATCACATCTTGTACAAACTCAATCTCATCTGGCGAAAATTCAAGTGGAAAGTTGTTACCAGATTTTTCAGAACTCCAGATATAACTGCTAAAATGGGACCAATACATTCATTGCTAACCACACACATATATTTTGGTATTGTCCTAAATTGGATTTGTTCTGGAGGGAAGTTTTTCATGCCCTTAAAGTTATTTTTAATCAACATATCCCATCTAAACCAGTAGTAGTATTATTAGGAGCGTTACCTGCAAGAATCAGCACACGAGATGAAAAACACCTTTTGAATATTTTACTTACTGCTGCTTTAAATGTATAACCATCAGATGGCCCAAACCAGATCCTCCCTCTTACAACATGTGGATTCAGAAAGTATGGGATATATACCAAATGGAGCAGATAACCTATTCTTCAAGGATTCAAAAACCCGTATTTATTAAGCCCTGGAAACCTGTTTTGCCTTTGCTATTATAGTAGAGATGACATGGGGTATCATTGTTGAAAAAGAAAATAAAAATAAGTTAAAAAAAAGAAAAAAAAGTAAGTAAGTAAGTAAACCGTATGTTTTGACCTTTAAGGCGCACTTAAAATCCTTACATTTTCTCAGAAATCGACAGTGCGCCTGACCTCAAAACGATTTTATGTGGTACACGGCGCTCAGAAATCTGTCAAAATGTTTTAGTACAACTTTCACACCGCTTGATGGATTGTCGGAGTCGTGTCCTTTAGTCTGACAGAATCTGAACCGCATCAGTGCACAAACAGTGAGCTGTTTTTTGAGCGCTTAGTTTATGCAAATGAGCCAAGCGGTTTTAAGTTTCATTTATGTAAAACGTAAACAAATGTGCACAAAGCTGCATTAAACACATTATTACTCAGTGTATATTTGGGTCCTCCGCATAGGAAATAAAAATCCAAGCTTGAAATCAACTTCATAACACACATTCACCAAGACAGAGGCAACACCGGGCGAATTACACTACAATCTGCCGATGGATCATGGACGCCTGGACTAAGGATCAGTCTCAAGTGTCGTCCATTTGTTTCTCTTAATGCGCCTTATAATTCAGTGCGACTTATGTATGAAAATAGACGAGAGAATTCAACATTATTGATACTGAGCTTTATAATCAGCGTGACTTTTGTTTCACAGACTTGTTAATCAACTTAACTTACATTTGAGGACAGGTAGTACAACAGTGGACGTCCTGTGGGTGGGGACTGTCGGGTCTGCTGAACTTTTACACATGTTAATGACTGGTCTGGTCTCAGGTACAAATCACACTCATTTACACAAAAACAGACTCAGAGAAATTTTTCCACAACGTAAATTTCCGTCACAAAGTGTTACTCAAACCTGTGTGAATGAAACAAAACACAACTCCAGGTCTGTTTTTGAAGGGGTAACAACTTTAAAACATGACTTAAAACTCAAAAGAGTCAATTTTGTGTAATATAGGACTTTTAGAAATACATTTGAGTGTACACTATGCGCTTGTCTCCATGGAGATGTTCCACAATATGGCTTTAAAATATTCTAAATATCCATGGAGTTGACGCCACTAGGCCAAGTTACACTTCCTATCTATGGAGGGGCGATCCTTCTCACAGTAATGAAGTGTTTTTGAGCAATAAAATGCCTGTAATTGAATAAATACAGTAACTAGACAGACAGATACACGTTTAATGCCATACTGTGGAACATTCCAACATTCCCACAAGAACACTGGTGGACCTTTGTACTGTAACATATTTTGAAGATAAACTGCGATAAAAAATAATATTGAAACTACTTTATGGCACTGACACAATTAGAATAAAGCAAAACAATCCCAATAAAACCATTAAAAAATATGCTGTATCATT